TGTCAATATTTTTGCAAAAATGAGTTAAAACTGTCACTGTGTTTGTATACAATTGTATATCCTTTATAAAAACGACAATTGCTAATTTTATCTAGAAATGACTATAATGGCACTTGTATATGTTAACATCACAATTTTTCATAAAATAAAATTGTTTAAGAAACAGTTTTTGTAAGATGTATAAAAACAGCATAAGTTTTAATTATTTCTTTTTGTATTAGAAAAGAAATTTGAAACTGCACAAACTTCTCTGTCAGAAAATAATTAACCTGAATTTTTTAGCATTTGAACTTTATAAATATTAATATTGGTATTTCTTGCACCAAGCCACAAATATAATCACCCGATCATTTTTAGGTGGATCTAAAAAAACATTACCATGTGTTTTGAGGTGCAGTTTCAATTAAAATAGAAAAAAAGAAATAACGTGTATTTACTACGCGATAAACTTTCTTTAACAATACATTATGGTATCCAGGGTACAGGATAATGGCTTAAGATTCCTGGGGTCCGAGGCTATCAAATATTCGAGAGTCCCCTTGGTTGATAAACTTAGTTCAAAAATAGAAATTTCTTTTAAATAAAATAAAACAACACTTATATACGTTAGTTGTAAAGAAAATAGGTAATCGTAAAAAAGAAACTTTATTCAATATTTGTTGACATGGTAAATGGAAGACTTATAATGGGGTCCATTTCAAAGTGGGGCCGGGGGCTGCAGCCCTCCTTAGACCTCCCCTTAATTCGGCGCTGCCAGGACGCAGTGCAGGGGAGAGAATGGCGTCAGAGGGTTAATCTATTTCACTCACAAGGGAACATCGGGGATTGATACACTCCGATTTTGATGAAACTTTGCATAAATATTTATTAGACCTGTATATGAAGATAACTGTAATTCGTTGGTGCCCGTTTTTCACTTTGAGGGAGATATCAACCCTTTTATCTGAACCGCCCTTTCTATATACCTGCTTATAAATCGTAAACAACAAAAGATATCAAAAAATAGTTGAAATAAAAGTTATACCGTTTCTTGAGGTTTATAAAGCTGCGTGTAAGTTTTTTTTTTAAATCATCCTTTTTGCAAAATTAAATTCTCCCTCCCCTTCCGTTTTGAAAAACTTCACGCAGTTTTATAGACCTCAAGAAATGGTATAACTTTTATTTCAACTATTTTTTGATATCTTTGGTTGTTTACGATTTATAACCACGTATATAGAAAGGGCGGTTCGGATAAAAGGGTTGATATCTCCCTCAAAGTGAAAAACGGGCACCAACGAATTACAGTTATCTTCATAAACAGGTCTAATAAATATTTATGCAAAGTTTCATCAAAATCGGGGTGTATCAGTCCCCGATGTTCCCTTGTCAGTATAATCTGCTTGGTTCGCAGAGAGGAGCATCAAAATGCAGTAAAAAAAGTAACCTAACACATGCAAAATGTCGAATATTATTAGAATGTATAAAAAAAGTCAATAATTGGCTGAAAAGTTCAACTCAATAAATAAATAAATATAAAGTAAAAAATGCAGCTGTAGAATGTTAGGTATCAAAGTTAAAAATATGTGACAGCAGGCATCAAAGTGTTAATTTATCGATTAATTTATAAAAACATTAATTGAAGATGTAAGATAACGTGTTTCCTCAGTGTGCAATTCTAGAATTCACGATTTGATAATCAATATAATTTTTATTTCCTCTACCTTTCTTTTCTCAAAAATCATTTTCTTTTCTCCCTATCTTTTGCACATCTCACAATATTCATTCGTCGGTAATTACATCTGTCGTCTGAAGTGAGGTCACTTCGAGTGTCGACGAGTTTGTCTTTCGCGTGGCTCTTTTTCAGAAGGTAGTCCTTTCCATTTTCCTTTTCTCTCTTATCATTCTTCCCCTTTGAAAGAACCCTTGCCTACACGATACCGCACTTAAGCCAAAGCACATTAGCATATTTGCTGGGGCCTCAATTTTGCTATCCGACCCCTATTTCCAGATAACGAACTTCAGCTCGTTCAACTAAAATTAGTTTATAACGAAAACTTTCTCTTAGAAATTCGTAAACGGCGAGATTTTTATACTCGTCACATTTATACTTATCACATCGTGGTGAATTTTAATATTCTTGTTTAAAACTTGTGTTACTGACAGTTTGAAGATAAAGTAATAAGGAATTAGAAGATTTTTAGATTGTTACATATCAAATGGTTCATTTCGAAATATAAAATGTCTGACACGGTTTAATGACATAAAAGTACCATAAAATGGCATATCAATTTAATAAATGTGCTATATCAATTTAAAGTGAAAAGTTTAATGAAAATAATTATTTTGTCATTAAATTTAAAATCTTCGCACGGCGGACCATGGAAAGAGATCCGATTTTAATTTAATCTTGTATTTCATATTATTTTCATCTTCTTAATCATGAACTATAACAATTTTACCGAAATAAATGTCATAATATTTATAATTGTAAGTACTATATTATAATTGCCATAATTATAACTATAATTATAACTGTAATAACAACTATAATAATTATAACAAATTTTTGATTACCACAATTTTGAATTCTTACAAAGTTTAATTTACAAGTCTTGACATTTTGAAATTAGAATTCATAAACTTTGAATATTAATTAATTAAACTACTATTTAAAGATTTATACAATTTTTCCTTGTTGAAATGTAGATTCATAGAATACTTAAAATTTATGTCATAATTAAAATAAACAGATTATAGAATTTTATTATACTTACAGTATAAATATTGTGATAAAGAATTTTTAGTTTCTTTCACTTCAATTTTCAATCATTCTTATTAAAGACTGATTACGGTTGGAAAGTTAATTAACTAAGAAACTGATTGCTATCGTAACATTTACTGAAGAAGAATTATTATAAATTACGTTGATTAAAGGTGTTGGTTCTTGAATCAAATGCTAAAGGGTAGTTTGTTTCAATCAGGGCGCTTTAACAACATAAATTCAATTCTCCTTGATTTAAATGGACTGTCAACTTTGTTAGGCTTTGCGTTTACTAATTATGTAATGCCATAATTGAAACAAGGCAGTGTCATAATGAATAAGCCAAAGCACTTAAGTGCGGTACTAGTAAGTTTAATGAAACAATACATTGGACATTAAAACTGTGATAGAACTTTTCTTCTTAGTTTATATAAATCTTTTTTTAACGTTTAAATATACGAATATACGAATATACGAATAACGTTTAAATATAAAAATTTGAAACACCTCATAAACAGTTTTCTTTTATATTATACCTCAGTGGTGCAACGACCGTAATTAATTATCGGATAGGGTAAGTGAAAAATGTATGAGTGTACCTCATTAGAATCATGATAATAATCAGTTTAATTTTTTTCATTTTCAAGAAAAGAAAGGTTTTTAATTTATTAATGGGGAGTCGACTGACTCTTCTAACCCCCGCCATTGCTGCACCCTAACATTTTTTACACAAAATCAATCATTTGTTTACAGAACAATTATTTGTTCCACAGAATCAATTTGTGTAAAAAAAATTTAAGGAAATAAAAAATGCCTCCATGTAAAGAAAAACTGTGTCTACAGGGTGTCCCAAAACTGGGGTGGGACCCGTGGAGGGATGATTGCTGAGGCTATTCTAAACAACTTTTTCCTTTGCCAAAATGTTCGTTAAGGCTTCGTTTTCGAGATATTAACGAAAAACAGTGGCCAATCAGAGCGCGCCTTCAGCGCGGGCCGAACTGCAAGAGTGTTGGGTATGCTCTGCGTTCAAACCGTGGTCGTGATCAAGTGTATCGGCACCACGTCGGTGTAGTAGGGTTCGTTGTTCATGAGCAATCAATAATTCGATACTATTATTCCTTTCTTTTTTTAATTCATTATTCGATACAACTTTTGCCCACCGAATCCTATTATACCGACGTGGTGCTGATGCACTTGATCACGACCACGGCTTGAACGCAGACACAGCCGACTCTACTAGTACTAACCGTGCTGAAGTAAAAATGGCAACACCGCGGGAGTCCGGTCTGAATATATCAACATCTACCCTACTCTATCTGCCTCCCGGACTCCCAGACTCTCAGCCAATCAACGTCGTCAGACCCCCGACTACTCTCTGGACTTCACATAACCTCTTTGGTTTCGTTCCAATAATTTCGCTTGTTCCAAGGCTTTTATTAACTTATATACACGTTTATCAGTTCTTAAATGTTTCAATTTGATCCAATGATGGTTTCATTTTGCTTCATACCTAAATTTTCTTGAAACCACTGTAAATATTTCAAATATTGTATCATGCTTCACAACACCAAACTACTTTGAGAGTACACAAAATATATATCACATTTATAACAATTTTATACTACATCATTTCTATTTGCCATAGTTGCAACGTTTATATATTGTTTATACATAATTAACACAAAATAGTGTATAGTACTACAGCTTTTAATTAAAAAAGACGTTAATTACAATTCCGAGCACAGGACTCTGTTTTTGAAAATAGGACTCCCGATTGTCACGTGAGCGGTGTTGCCACGTTGTTCAGCATGGCTAGTGACGCAGAGCATGCCTAACACTCTTGCGGTTCGGCCCGCGCTAAAGGCGCACTCTGTTTGGCCAGTGTTTTTCGTTAATAATTCGAAAACGGAGCCTTAACCAACATTTTGGTAAAAGAAAAGGTTGTTTAGAATTACCTTAGCAATCATCCCTCCACGGGTCCTATCTTATTTCTGGGACACTCTGTACAATAAAATGTTCTCGTGAAAACAAAATAAGTAAAATATTTCAAATTTCTGTATAAAATATTTCACTTTCGAATTTAAAATAACTTATAAACATTTAATTCTTTTATCTAGTCTAATAAAATGTTTCAAAAGATATTTCTAAAATTTTAAAAGTGCCTCTAACTAGATGTCACCTTTGAAATAAAATAAGTTCCAGTTGAAATATTTCTACAGCAATAATATTGTTGGATTCAAATTTATAAACGTACATACACATACAATTATTCATAAAAATGATTCATGAAAATGAAACTGATGAACCAACTTCGTGTAAGATTTACAATTAGTGGTTTTCTTCAGAGACCACCACATATGGATTGAAAATAAACCGAAACTTGAATTGTTGAATAATGTGAAAGATTAATAAATATCTTACAAACAGATGTGTAAACGTGTCATGACAGAAGAATTGACCCATGCACGATTTGAAGCTGACCAAGCATTCCTGGTAATGTCAAAGAAAAAAGTTTATATTTATAACCTATTATTTTTATTCTGCATATGATTTTGAAAAAGTTTTTTGATCAACCTTGTTAATTGAAAGGGGGTCAAACAAATTTTTTCATTTCTTATTAGTACCATGATAATATTAAGTTTAATTTTCTTTATTTTTTTTATTTATCCTTAATAACGTTATCGAAAATTTTCAAAAATACTTCTAATTTCTTAAGAGCGGTAGTGACTCGCTGTAGTAGCCTTACTGGTTCGTTTAATAAATTACGAATAAAAATAACTTAATTCATTTTATTTGTAATAAATGCAAATATTCTACGATACTTTATTGTGGATAATAAAGAGTATAATTACATCGTGAATACATAGATAGGTTTCTGACCTGTGCAGTAAAGAAAGAAATATTTTCAACAATTTGTAATTAAACGAAATAAATACATTGTTGAAATTTATTAATTTGATTCATAAAACTCAAGACAACGTTCACAAATATCAATAGTATTTTACATTTGACGAAACAACCAAGTTGGTTATTTCAAAAATAAAATTTTATATAAAAACCATATAATTCCTTTATTTTTAGTTCAATTGTGAAGGAAGTATTACATTTTTTCTACTTTTATGGTTAGTTACATGACTTACATGTACGAGGTACAGGTTGGACTACATAAGACAATTCACTTAATTATCTTTTATAAATATAGCAGTAGCAAGAAAATTTTTATACATAATTTAAAAGGTTTCAAAAGATAAATAAAAGAAAAATTCTTCTGTAAATGCCATTTTTTCCAATCAAGTTATTTTACAAAAATGTATAGTATCGAGCATGGATAGCTACCCTCGGGAAAATGGCGATATCGCGAGTTCCCCCTTCCCTAATATTCCCGGGTTTGCATCCCTTCCCGAATGTATTCCAACTCTCCTCGTCGGATTCCCTTTCTTCGTATTCCTGTTCCTTCCCATAAGTGGTCCCGAGGAGAGTCCCGTATACAGGTATATAAGTTTGTGGCCCTCCACCACTTGCGTATGAACATTTACGCGGGAGAATTTGAATTGATACTTATGTTATTATTCATATTTTTCAATTAAATACTAAATTTTATAATATTACATAATTTGTTTCTAAATCATTAAGATTTGGAGAATTCATACCCGTACAACGTTGTTTTCCCTAGGGAAGTCTACTTTTCTCGATGCTGTATATACTTTCTTCTACTGAAAATTTCGAATAAAATGTAAAGATTCTAGGTTTTTAGTAGGATTTTACATTATAAGTCAATTACACTTTTCCTAATTATTTTCTAATGATTTCCAGGATCCGTCTTACACGATAAACAATGGGGTGTACGATCTGGAAAGATTTCGCTTACTCGCTGATAGGATCAAGCCACTTTTGGGTCCGTGCCTGGAGAAGAGAATTAATTCTGGACTGGAGGAATTTGTTTGTAAATCGAGTTCCAGGTACTCTAAACGATTCCCACGCCTGAAGAGATGCTTGGACGCAGTTGCCGCTTGGTTGAACTACTTAGACGCGTTTCGCACCAAGGACATCGAGGAGGAAGCGATTAAGCACGCGATCGAATATCTGCTGAAAGACGGCCGAGTGACACATTTAGAGGATCCGGTCGTTCTGAATGCTGGAATAAATAGGGTGGACCTCGATTCCTTGACCGAGCAGAATGCCATGAAGAATAGGAACGTGTGGAGCTTTATCAAGGAAAAAGATTATTGGTTGTGCCATGATCAAGAGTGAGCATTGTGTTATTAATCAAGTATCAAAAAAGATTTTTGCGGTTTTTCTGGTAGAAATAAATTTTAATTTGCTAACATATCAGTGTAAAATTTATAATTTATTATTAAGATTAAAAACTGTAAATTATGAAAATCTAGTTGCATTATGAAATTCTTGTATTTTTTAAACATTTGTAATTTTTGTTTTACATAATATTATATAATTTTTCTTCAAGTAAATATGTACATATAAACATTTTTTTTTATTCTGTATAAAAGACTACCAAGAAACTTACGTTAACATTCGATTAGTTTTAAAAATATTTTTATTCCAATTCTTCATTGCTATTTTTGGTTTGTATAAAAATATTCAAATTAGTAATTTATACTAATATCCCTTAGCAGACAAACTACAAGTACTTGCAAACCGCCACCAACAATCAATTCTCAAATTCAAGAGTGTAAAAGAGAAAATAGTAGCAGTGATTTGGACGTAGAAATCGGTTCAAGTAAACAAGAAGTTCCAACTAAAGTCACTTGTAAAAAAATTTTCAATAAGGACACTTGTCGCGAACAGAAAATTGAAACAAAGTATCAATGTGACCAAGAAATCATTTCCTGTTCGAAACAGAACATTGTAAACCAATCAAAAAAAGCTTCAGTCACAATCAACGAACCCAAATTACTCCAAACAAGAGAAAACTTATCAAAACCAAGTACAAGAATACCATACGACCTACAAATTAGTTGCTGTTCAAAGCAGAATAATCTGAATCCGTTAGAAGAAGCTTCAACTATCATTAACGAACCCAAACCTCTTCAAACAAGAGAAAACTTACCAAAACCAAGTACAAGAATACCATACGACCTACCAATTAGTTGCTGTTCAAAGCAGAATAATCTGAATCCGTTAGAAGAAGCTTCAACTATCATTAACGAACCCAAACCTCTTCAAACAAGAAGAAATTTACCAAAATCAAGTACAAGAATACCATACGACCTACCAATTAGTTGTTGTTCAAAGCAGAATAATCTGAATCCGTTAGAAGAAGCTTCAACTATCATTAACGAACCCAAACCTCTTCAAACAAGAAGAAATTTACCAAAATCAAGTACAAGAATACCATACGACCTACCAATTAGTTGCTGTTCAAAGCAGAATAATCTGAATCCGTTAGAAGAAGCTTCAACTATCATTAACGAACCCAAACCTCTTCAAACACGAAGAAATTTACCAAAATCAAGTACGAAGATATCAGAAATCACTTTTTGTTTTAAGCAAAACTCTGTGAACCCATCAAATGAAGCTTCAATCACCACCTACGATCCCAAACTTCTTCAAACAAGAAGAAACATTCTAAACCCAAGTACAAAGTTACTATCCAACTGTAATGAAAATTGTGATCAAAATTTGTGTCCAAAAAGTTCCAAATTAAAGCTGGTAATTCATAAAACAACAAACACAAACCGTTGCACACTTTGGAAGTCTGCAAAGGTATCCAGTCTTTCTGTACCTTGCAAATCTAGTCACTTAATTGTTCGTCTCTTCGAGGCAGATCCATCTTTATCAGACTCCTGTTTGATCCTCATGAAACGAAAATTTGAGCACGATATTCGCAATGCTTGCTCCTGTCTTAACGATATTTTCAAGAAGTTAGATAATTCGACGATGAAGAGACTGTGTCTGAACTGCCAGATACATCCGGGTCGAATTGATTTGAACCTCCAACGTGACGATGGGTCATCGAAAGTCCGGTTGTTCTTGGCACGAGTGCCAATCTGTTTGAGCGTCCACAAGCGTGAATCTTCTTGCAGAAAAAACATAAAATCTGAAGAATCTCAAGGTACGAATAAGAATCTTGATTACTGCTGTAAGGAGGAATTTCAGGAACGACAGATTGCTTTCTACTCTCAGTGCTCCAATCATGATTTGATGGAAAAGAAAAGGTCTCCGAAAGACATTATGGGAAAAGAGGTGAATTTTGTGTGGTTGAAGAAAGAGACAAAGGAAGTTGACTTCGTATTGTCTTCCTCTTTCACGAGATCGAAGATCAACGAGGACCTTGAAGAAAATTTTATTTCTTGCACGAAGGGAGATTGCATCAAAGTTTATGACGAAGAAAATGCAGGAAAAAATAACAGCTATGCAAATTCATCGATTACGGAGGATGATAATCAAAGAATGGATGACATTTGCACTTATTCTTCTTCGCGTAGTTCGATAGGACAAGACAATTCGACGATAGGGGGTTGCGATCCTGAGCAGTGTTCCTGTCACGTTCTGTGTACAAACAAAGATAAATTAGAGTTGGAAAATTCTATAAAGGAAGAAAAGTGTGTTACTCGATCAGAAAATATCATCGAAAAGGAAGATAACAGGCTGGAGAATTGTCCAGAAGCTGAAGAAGACATTTCTAAAACAAAAGGTAACGACCTTCGAGTACAGGATTTTTCAAAATTGGAAAGAAATATTGTCACTGTAAGAAGTAGTACTCTTCAAGTACAGAAACTGTTGATTACAACAGAAATTTCAGAAACGAAGAAAAATTCTGAAATGAAGGAAACACGTAGCATTGATTACATTTCTTCGACCGTTTCCAAAAATAATTCGAAAATAAGTTGCGACAGCAAGTGTTCTCGTTGTGGCAAAGACTTATCCGAGGAAGGGAGCAAAAATATCACAAAGTCTTTCGACACTGAAACTTGCAGGACCTTGAACTCTATTTCAAAAAGAAATATGAACTTGAAGGAATCTATGGAAACTCCTTCGATTTGTTCTACGAAAACAACCTGTAGAACCTTTATAATGAAAAATGAAAATTTATCTAATTTATGTCCAGGGAATTGCAATAAAAATTTAATCAATAATGATCGTGACCCTGAAGTCCTTGAATCTTGTAAATGTTCAAGCAATTCAAGTACCAGAACAAATATGGATACTCAGAATTTCTTACAAAAGAATTTTAACTTAAAAAGCACTAAATTTAGATCGAATTTTTCCAAGAAACCATGTTGCTCTTCGTCGACGAGCAAAACTCGATGCCAAACTCAGGAAGACAGCAGTTACCTTCCCTCTCGACGCAAAAATAGTTTCTGGAAAAGATCGATCGTCCCAGGAAGCTTCTGCAGCTCGTTTCCTGCCTTGGATCGAATAAAGTACCTAATTCGCAAAAAACTCCGAAGATTGTTGCTGGAAGAACGCGACAAAGGGACCGGAACTTCAAAGACATACCTGAAGAACGACAGATACTTAGTCAGTATCTCGAGTGGAAAATTGAACGAAGAACGTATTTGTTCTTCCATTCGTTGTCCATTTACGACTAGAAATCAAGTCGGGAATCAAAGTTCTCAGACGACATTCTCAGAAGGAAGTTCCTTGACGAAGAAGAAGAAGAAGAAGAAGAAAGATACTTTTGAAGATGGTGTTAGAGATCGATGCAGAAGGATGATCCAGGACAACGAGGTCTTCAGGAAGATCAGACTCAGAGAGATTTCAAGGTTTCTAGGTCAGAAGAGTGGCTCGATGATGGATAATCACAAAATGATTGATGAGAAGGAGCATTGTCCTTTTTATCGTGATGGAAAACGAAGAGGACGTTCCAGTATGGAGTCTTTTGGTTCCACCAGGGTGATTTTCTTCGACGACCTTGATGAAACGAAACGCAAAAATGGAAGGAAATTTTCGAAAGGAATTTTGAAAGAGGGAATTGCTTCTCCAAATATTATTTCTAGAAAGAATTGTCACAGAAGAGGAAGAGAAGGAGGAGATGCCCTAGGCGATGAAAGACCAAGGCCTTTCGAGAAACGTTTGTTCAAATACTATAAAATAGAAGACTACGACGATGACAATGATTTTATGAATCTCCTTGGTAACTACGAGAGAAGGATCAGTGATTTGGATGCTGATTTTAGGTTGAAATTGTTGCAGTATGTGGCACTTTGCAGGAGTGTGAAGGATCTGTTGATGAAGAGGCTGCCACGACCCGATGACGTTTACGAGGGTAGCTCGAGTTCTATGTAGCAAAGGATATTGATCTGCAATGAATGACAGGCCGATGACTCGATTGTACTAGATGGGACAACGTGTTAAATGGTTAACTGCACGATAACTTGGTTCCACGAAGGAATTTGTTTCCTGTGATTCTGTTTAGTTCGTTTCATGTAGTTTAAGAATGTTATGGGTATTATTTTATTAGATTGGCAATTAAATTCGTTACCATCACATTTTTTCCTCCATAGGGGGGAACTGATTAAACTTTCCCTGATAAATTACTAAAATTTCACAATAATTTAGCAAAACTTTACTTTTTAATGTTTATAATTTGTTTATAAAAATTTAACTTATTTTTGGATCAAAGTAAGTACCATTTGAATTAATAATTTTTTACCATATTTATGGTAAGTTTTTTGAATTTTGTACGTTAAAATAGATAAATCACAAATTTAATTACCAACTTATTATCATTGGCGTAACTAAGTAAGGTTCAAGGTGCCCCCCTCCCCCTCTCCAAAATATTGACCGGGGAGATTACCATTTTAGAATTTTAGCATTCTAAAATTTAAAAGTTTCAAAATTCCAGAATTAAACAATTGAAAAATTCCAATTAAAAAATTTTTGAGGAAAATTTCTCATATTTCTCACCTTAGAATTAAATCCTAGTTATGCCAATGATGATTATTTACAAAAAAGAAATGAAAGGTAAACATTATTAATCTTTGAACAGTAGAGTTTGGGTCAATCCTGGCCCAAACTTACAAATTATATACAAGGATATTAACCTAAAGTTAAATGAATATTTTTTAAACGAAAGTGTTTTATATGTTGGAGGGATAATTTTAAAATCTCAGTGTAAAATTTAGAAAATAGTGGAAAATAATATGAATTATAAAATTAAATTAAAATTGTGGGTGTCTTCATGGTCCGCTGTCCAACACCCATTTGGAAATTCTTCCATTACAAATTACTTCTGTTTTTACAAGGTAATCAAAAATAAATTAGAATAGTGTAGCGTTAGACTATGCACGTCGTTGATATATTATGTTATGTTTTCAATTATATGACAGAACTTGATTTTCATCCCTTTTAAAACACATCTAACGCAGAGAACGAACGTTTTAATATATGTATTTTAGTATTTGTTGAAAAGATGACTTTTTTCTTAAAATGAATTATAAATAGTTATCAGCGTATGTGATATCAAAGTTGTGAAAATTGTTAGCATATTAATTTTTAAATTTTGCAAAAATTGAGATCTCAAATTTTTATTATAGAGGATGGTTAGGGTTGTTTATTGTAATTTGATTCCAAAATTGTTGTAAGTTTATGGAATTTTTGTTTAGTTTCAACAGTATTTTTTATAAGATAATAATGACCCATCAGTAGTAAAAACAATGTGACGAATAACGAAATTCTTATTTGATAATTCGTTCCAACGAAACAAAACTGGCTTTTCACTCTAATTCTGCGGGGCATATAGGCCTCCATAAAAACGAAAGGGTAAAGTTTGTAAGTACATTGATCATCCCTTAACTGATATTCCTCTCAAATGTAAATTACGTTATTCAATGTATTAAACAGTTGATATAAGGAATTAAAATTAAAGCGAGAAACAAGTAAATATTTTATTACTTATTCATTTTTATCACTTAGGCCTTTTTGTAGAATACGGGTCCTAATTTTAATTAATTACGCCCAAAAACCAACCGGCCCATCGAGAATTTTCCTGAACTCTAAATCCACCCTTAAGAGTTAATTTATTGTTTATTTCGTTTGAATTTATTGTTTATTGTTAATTCGTATCGAAAATATTGATGAAGTCATTATGTAGTCAAATTGATATACCATAAGTCAGTGCCGGATTAAAATCTACGAAGGCCCCAGGCGCTTAACAGTAACAGATTTTGTCTCCTGTATACAGTTGGTTTATTCTAATACAATACACAATTCCTCAGGCACCTCCTGTAATCTGACAGAACAGTATTTCTTATAGAAATTAATCAATTTTCAATCAGCTATAAATTGCAATGTTTAAGACTGAGATATTATTGAAGTGAGGAAGAACATTGATTACATTGTTATATTCAATTAATTGAATGTAATACTACTGAAATAGTAGTGAATCATTCTTCCTAAAATTTGAAAGATACTGCTTTGAATTACAATAGAGGGATAAACTTTTTTTAATGAAGGAGATATTGAGTCGATGTACCCAAAAAGGGCTAAAAATAACTCCACGCCTTTATTGCACCTATGCCCTCAATCACCGAAAAGTTTATTTTTTGTAAATTCACTTATTATTAGTAATATTATTGTTACGTAAAAGATTTTTCGTGATGCTCTAAGCACGTGCTTATTTTGCATATTGATTAATCTTGCATTGACGTAAGTACTACTTTGTAATACTATTGTATTTCCAAATTGCATTAGATTTTCTGTTTCGAAATCTACCATTTTATATGCAACAACATAATATTTAAAATTTTATCTGTGGCATGCAGTATTTCACGTTTTCTAATAAAAAAAAAAATATTTTCAATTCAAACGAAAGGGAAGTAACTGACACAGGCATTCAAGGAGGAACACTTACTGCTGGTGCTTTATCACGATGAAATGATAGTGAAATCCGAGTTATTTAAGGCGTGCCGACCACGAAGAGGAGATAAAGTATTGTAGACCAACCATTGAGAGCAGCAGCATCCATCCCTTTGGCCAGATCGATATTTCTTGGCAACCACCGGCGAGGGTGCCCACCCCAGTTACTCTGTGTTTGTAACAATGCAAGTCGGCATCAAACAACTAGCGAAAGATTTGAGCTGCCAACGTTATTAGTTCAGTTTTATCAAAAATATAATTCCGCAAAAAATTAAATATAAGAATAGTTTAAGAAAACACAAACGTAGGGTATAATTACCTTCTTAATTATTTGCATAATAATGAGGTCATGGTTTGCGTCACTGAAATAGTATTTATGAATAAGAGAAACAATTTTGTGTATAAATTATGTAAGTATGCATAATGGAAGGAGTATTGATAAATAATGAAAATTTCTGTGTTGAGATTTTGTTGAAAATTAAATGTAATATAACATATTATTTAGAACTTATTCATTTTTAAATACCTATGTTTTTTAATGCATAAATTGATTTAAATAATACTACTTAATGTTAAACTTTTTTATTAAGGCTTAAAATTGAAAAAGTCTATTTTTATTAACAAATTGGCCGATATTGAAGCCGCGCGTGATCTGCGTTTCAAACTCGTGTCTCATTATAGCAATTAACGTGTTAAAGTTGATCATATCCTCGAACGAAATTCAGTGAGATATAATCTATTGAAAATTAGATTTTCGCGAATGAATGATTTTACGCTGTAAATTGGTTGATGAAACATTTATATAGTCGTATGCATCTAACTTTAAGCTTCAAATGAATATGCCATAAGTGATACTTTGCGATACTTTTGTATCATAAAATCAAATTTTGAAACATATTTATGAGTTAGGAATAACTGGAAAGTGAAATAGCCCAGCTTTCTTCCAAAAACAATGACTTTTAATGTCATATAAAAGCAGTATGACATTTGGAGATATAATAATAAAAGTCATGATTTACTGTTACGTGAATGCTCGAAAATAAAAATTATAGAAATGGTATGTGTGCTGCTGACAGATCTACTGCAATAGAAATGGACATCATTATCTACTGGACACGAAGTGAAATACGTAATAACACACTGTATTATTATGTTTACATTTGAAGGTAAACAGAAACATTTAAGTATCATTTAATAATTTTTAATTTTTAAAATATTTAATTGTATTATAAAAAGAAATACTACCAATTACAATTTATAGCAGATCATTAACAATTTCCAACTATGTAACATTTTCAACAAATTGTTGAAACGGTCTTAAATTTCAATTTCACAATTAATAAATTAGTTCAAAAATATACTCCCACTCGTATTCTGTTTGTTGATAATTTGTAGCTATATTTAGAAAAAAGTCTGTCTAATCTTAACTCAAAAAATTAATCAATATTTTGGCAGTCAATAAAATGATGACAATCGATAAATAGAATATCTATACCTATACGGATATCAATAGGGATAAACTGCTGCTAAAGCACAACATATCGTATCATATTATAGTACTGACATATGCAAATATTAATAAAAATCAATATATTGGAATAAAAATGGTTAACCTAGTTAGTCATGTCTTACTTTATCCAATTGACTAGGTACCTTGGTGTTCAAATTAAGCACCACAAAGAAAAATGGTGATATCCCAGGTCCTCGCCTTTTTCTATAGCACAGCCGACTCTAGAACTAGCCGTGCTGATGTAAAAATGGCAACACCGCGGGAGTCCGGCCTGAATATATCAACACCTACCCTACTCTATCTGCCTCCCGGACTCCTAGCCAATCAACATCGTCAGACTCTCCGGCTACTCTCTGGCCTTCACATAACCTCTTTGGTTTTGTTCCAATAATTTCGCTTGTTTCAAGGCTTTTATTAACTTATATACACGTTTATCAGTTCTTAAATGTTTCAATTTGATCCAAAGATGGTTTCATTTTGCTTCATACCTAAATTTTCTTGAAACCACTGTAAATATTTCAAATATCATGCTTCACAACACCAAACTACTTTGAGAGTACACAAAATATATATCACATTTATAACAATTTTATACTACCACATCACTTCTATTTGCCATAATTGCAACGTTTATATATTGTTTATACATAATTAACACAAAATAGTGTACATTACTACAGCTTTTAATTAAAAAAGACGTTAATTACAATTCCGAGCACAGGACTCTGTTTTTGAAAATAGGACTCCCGATTGTCACGTGAGCGGTGTTGCCACGTTGTTCAGCATGGCTAGTATTAGAGTCGGCTGTGTGTAGGGCCAGTGATGCATTATCGTGGGATTTTTTCTCGCTGGGATGCTGGGTGCGCATGCGTAAATAACATTACAACTAGGGAAACTTTCATGCGTCTAATGTATACAGCTATAGCATCACGTAGTGTCCCCAGCTCTAATGTTACTTACGCATTCGTACGCAATCTCCTAGGGTGAAAAAGTTCCACGAAAGCACATCACTGTGTAGGGCAGGGGCCCCATACATATGTATAGAAGTCTGGCCCTATAATGTGCGTGTAGCCTTTTACGTAGGAAAATTTAAATTTATATGTATTCATTATTGATATTCCTTAATTATATATTAAATTATACAACATTTAATAATTAAAAATCATGTTATTTTGTAATATGTACTACTGGAGCTTGATTATAATCTTTTATCTCGCCCCAAGTGTTTACTAGGCATAGCTCTCTTAAATTTTCATCTGTTTCAGTCAATGCAAAACAGTTTATTTAATATTTATTTTAAACTATTGCACGAGATACAAGAAATAGATTGATGAATTGATTTCATCAAAGGACCAAATTTCCATTGGGCAACAGTCTGTAATTTGTCCAAAAAATAAAATCACTTCTTCAACTTGGTCTCAAATCTATTGAATACTTCTAAATAACGTAAAAGACTAAACAGATCTCCTTCAGGTTTAGCTGACTATGTAATATCATTGTCGCACAATACTGGGTGTATTTACTTCGAGGCCAATGATGCATATCACATTATGATAGATTGGATACACAGTATCTACTGAATTATCACGGTAATTACATCTAACATAAGATAGAAATTAAAATACACTACAATGGAAGAAAAAAGTGGTACCCAAGTGAATACCTCCTTTCACCCTCCGTACCTTCTCATCTACCATCGTGCCCCTTATACTTCGATTCCAATCATTCATATCGATCCATTAGAACATGATAAGCGTAGTACGCCATAAATTACATCCCTTACATACGTCAGGGATCGTGGAATCGTTGTTTGTCTGTTTCAGGACGATCGTGCGCGGATGTTAACGTTAATACCGTTACGCTTCCTGTTCCTGCGTAACGTTTTGTTGTTGCAAAACTCCTGATCTGGGGTGCAAATGCTCCGCCTAGGTTCTATCTAAAGGGGGTTGCAACCGGGCACGATTGGTCAATGATATCGATGCGTCGCAACTAGAGGGCCAATAGCGTCGCGACTCCGGCTTGCGCTGACTCCGTGACCAGGAGCTGACTTTGCGGTACCCCGCTGCTGCCGTGGATGCCGCCGCCGTCAACGAGGACGACGTCAGGCGACGTCGACGACGTTCTCCGTCGCGTACCACTCCGCTCGTAACCATATCTGGACTTAATTATTGGTGAGTCGTGAGTTTCTTTCATTTCACAATATAATCTCTCTTGAACTGAATTCTTCACGAATCGTAAGTGGTGGTTTTCGAAAAATAGCCAACCCTTCGTTCGAAAGGGTTGGTCCAACGGTTCTGTGCAGTTGTGTCAAACAAAGATGGACCCGCAGCATTGTGATTTTGTTCCTTGTGAATTGTTTAACAAAGTGAGATTTGTTGTTGTTGAAATATTAGACGGAAGGCTTAGGATCGTTCCATCGATAGTCCTCGACAAAAATCCATGGGACTCGAACTTTTTTAGAGGATGAAGCGTGATTCATAGTGACGATTGATCGTGAAATTTTTTCGTCGGTGTACGTGAGAGTGTGTGGGTGGGTATGTGTGTTGAACAGTGAACGGAGGGGTTCATTTAGCTGGTGAATCGTAACTTTGAATCGACATTGAGGGGAATACCTTTTTTTCAAGGTTGGATCATGGAAATGTCAGAGATCAGAAAAATCTCAGAGACTTTATCGTATTGATCGGGAAATGTACTGGGCATCTGGGTTCATTTCATCCAGTCTCATTCTTTTCCTTTCAAAACACTTAAATTTATAAATTCTTATTAAAAAACACTTGATGCGACATGTTTTGTTGTCGTATTACTTGATTCGTGTCCTGAATATTCATTTATTTATTTATTTAATAATTTGATGTTTTTTTACACCCTCCGGCAGCAAACTATCGAGAGAATCGCAATTTTAATTTAATTTTCTATTCTGTTTCTAATCTTTTTGCTCTAAAAATTATTCTTTCAATACATGAAACACTTTGATTTAAAAATTATACATTTAATGTTAATATCCTTGTGTATATTTTGTAAGTTTGTGTATGTTCAATCAATGAATCAACTCAGACTCCGCTGTTCAAGAGTTAATTCATACGTGAATCTTTACATGGATCTGTCACCTACTTTAATCCTTGAAAGATGGATGCTCTGGGACTGATAGAATAGATGGGTATAAAGACCTACATATCATCAAAATGTAATAATATCGAATTAAAATTACTAACTGCCAGAATTTTCTATAATTTTAATGTGGCATATAAAGTATTCAATTTTGAAGTGAATATATTCATTAGAGTATATAGTTTCATGTGGAATATAGATAAAATTGAAATTTGGATTATCTAAAAGTATGACTGGATAAAAGTGCATATTTTAATTATCATTTTTATTATTATTTCATATAATTTTTCAATTTAAAATTTTAATCAGTGTCAGAGAAACATAAATTGAAAAAGATGATAAAAATCAGTAATTCAATTCACGATATATTACACCCCAGTATTTTTTAATTAAAAAAAAAGGAAAATTTAATTGATTTTATTAATAAATATTCAATTCGTAATACGATACACTCCAATATCTAGAAAGAAAAAAAAACGTAATTGATTTGATTAACAAATGTTCTAATCAAAAATTTCAGAAATCAATATCCAAACGTGTTTCATTCGGCGACCCATGTAAATAGCGTTTTTCATGAAGAATATTAGGGGAGCCGCGTCCCCCATGACGTCCATTAAATGAAATCAGCCGTTTCCATCACCACCATTGCATCCTAACTGGTTAGCACACGTGCTGTGCATTTTGTCTGTCTTTTGTCTGTCACGTGCCGTTTTAATATCCGACAGCCATTGTCTCTCGAAACGTCTCTTTGTGATCACGCTTTGTTGGTTGCCAACAATTTTTTGCTTCGAGGATCCGTCACTCTCTTCTACCCCCTTCGATAGGAAATTCTTCCTTTATTATCGATCTTTGCTTTTAGTACAACATTTTGCTCATTTAGTGCAACAATTTATAGGTTTTGAGTTATTAGTCTGGAAGGAACGGTTCTTACTTGTACTTTTGAACCAGTCGAGTTTTGAAAGTGAATTTTTTTTAAATTACTGTTTTCTTTTAACGGCCTGACAAAGTTGTAACAATTCGAAACATTCAAACTCATTTTCCTTACAATCATGATTTTAGAATGTGAAATTATTGCAACAAATGAGCGAATTGAAAAAATGAAGTGATCTATGCTGTACTTTATTTAATTATATAGAAATCAATTTTAAATTTAGTTGTAAGAAATCAATTTTGGTAGTTTATTTTATTTGGAGTATACAAAAGTTTCAATTGGCTACATATAAATAATGTTAGGTATTTTAATGCAATTTGTAACATGTTTTGTTCGATTATGTTAATATTTGCATAAAAAGTGACGCAAAATAAGCTATATTTTGCTAATATAATATTTTTTTTATTTAAAGTTCAAAAAGAAATTCATAATATACATATTCATGATTAAATAACAATCAAATAGAAACATTTACAAAATTATAATAACAATAATAATTTTCAAAATAATTAAATAATATTAATCAATAATTGGTTGATAACTATATTTTCATTCTGTGCTTCAAAAGTGGCTAAATATCTTGATTAAAATTATCCTTTTAATATAAAATATTAATAGAGAAAACTGTCTTAAAAACGATAGAAACTTCTTTATACTTATTAATAATATATATAGTATCCGGTCATTCTATTATGGACATTCAATATATTATAATATTTCAATTTTAGAACTGTAATGATACAAGTGCTAATGAAAAATTCGATTTTATAATTTTATCAAAGCAATGCAATAATTTTCAATATTTTGTGTAATTTTCTTGGCTGTTGATAGTGGTCTCAATTCCTCGACAATCGAGGGTATACCAACTTGAAATGCAGCAATTTATGCATTCCCTTATTTCCAATATACCGTGCCACTTCTTAGGTATTTTAGATCAGGATATTGTTCGTTGGATTGCATTTTTGGTGAACTATGCATTTTAAGATCAATCATACGATGTCAATTAAGTTAAAATTGGGGAAATTATTACACTTATATTTCTCAATATTTTGCTGAGAAAGCAGTGAACTAATAACATTGAAAATGTCCATGATGGAGTTGCAGTGTACTATGCCATATTCCAAATGAACAAACAATTCATATTTATGATAGTTCTCAAGTTATTAAATTAAAACTACTACTTCTAACTATATTATACTTCCACAAGGTTAAGTTTTATAATATTTTTTCATAAATATAGAAACTTTGAATGAAACTTTCTAAAGTTACTCCTTTCGAGAAATATACTCTCGTAACAATTTTTTATTTTTGGACAAAAAAGCGTTGTCCATTAACATATTTTAATTTTTTATTTTACTTGTATATTTATTTTGTAGCTGTAAATGTCTTTCTATCCTGAAAGTATATTTTTAAATCATTCATTGGCGTAACTGGAATTTTGAAATTTTTGGAATCTGAAATTCAGGAAGTCTGTACTGGAATTTCGGTATTCTGAAATTGTAAAATCTTAGTATGTTGAAGGTCCTCATTTTTGGGAAGAGGCCAGTTCACATTTTATGGGGGTCAGGTTCATCCTGCCCCTACCTAGTTACGTCAATGTAAGCATTTATCTAATACAATTCTATAAGCAGCATTAGAAAAATTATATTCAGAATCTCAATCTTTCTCTAAATGATACCCTGTACATAGGACGTTGGTAAAGGTTGGCTTCAAATTAATACAGCGTGTTAATGAGGTCGAGTAGATGAAAAAAGTTCATATGAATCTGTGTCTGAAAATGCTTTATAAACCCGGGAACGGTGGAGGCTGATCAATCGTGACCCAGACATATAAAAAACCTATACAACGACACTTCTATTAGACATTCAAATTTCTGTAGAAAAAGCCCATAAAGAAATTAAAATGAAAAAGTCTTTAAAATTCAACACGTTGATTTAAGTTCTGAGTTTTTTTGCGTCTTCTTCTGTTACTTTATCACAACCCTCCTAATGTTTCTACGAGAAGCTTAAGTGAAAAATATGACCCCGGTGTAGGTTGTACGCTTCTTCTCGCATTTTTCTACCCCTTGAAGACGTTCCCCGGGGAGTTCGAGGATTAGGGCTGAAGAGACTACCACTCCAAATAAACATCCCTACTCTGAAGTTCCCCATGTGCCTTATAATCGGGGAGAGACGTTTTTGTATATGTGTGTTGGATGTTTGGAAGAGAAAATATAGACGATCATTAAAAAATGAATGTTCGTTCGTTGAAATCGCTTAAAATGAATCAGAGGTTGTTGGAAATCAAAGATAATGTACGTTTCTTGGGATGCTTGTTATGAATTACCATTTATGAAAAAATGAAAATATTTTATGTGCATAATTTGTAGATTATTAATTGAAACGAATTCTGTTTTAAAACAGGAGTAAAAGTATAATTAATATCTGCTAATTCCATTTATCCTGACAACGTAGAAAATAAACTTCACGCAAAGTGGCTTTCTATGCACTCCAATGGCAGGTGAATAGAAACACACAAGTTCCTTTTTAAAAAAGGAGTAAGTTGAGGGTAAAAGAAAACAGCGTGGAATTCAAATATGTATAATAAATAGATCAAGATCCAAATTTCGCATAATCACAGGAAAATTAAGGGTATTCTAATTTTTTTCGAATTCCTACAGGGCCTCGAAAGTTTATCTAGTACATAAATTTATACGAGTACCTGTGATTTCAGGACTCGAATATCATCTTGGGACTCGAATTCGACCCGAAAATCAATTACATCTGATTATACGCGATAACACATAATAAAGATTTTCAAAAACTTAGAAATTTAAGGTGAATTTAAAAAATCATGCCTCGAATGCAGTATCGGCTCCCGAATTGAGTTTCGAATTTCGAATCGAGTTTGGATCCCGAAATTACAAGTACCTGAACGAATTTTTGAGGTGTCGCCCGATTCCTGCTCGGGTACCTGCTCTTTCCTAAACGCGATCTTTGTTATTTTTTATTTGCTACACTAATGTAGGGTTAATAATAGAATTCTTTCAGTGAAAATGATTCGTCGAAGACTTACGATTGCTTGTCTGCTTCAGGGGCTGTCGATTAGCAGCGCGATCATTTTCAGCCTGTGAGCAACCCCAATAATTGGAAAATGTCCAGATTTGCGGCGGCGGGCCTCGTGGCCTTCGATTCCATCAAGTCTAAAGCATCGCAAAAGTTTGCTGGGTAATGTCACGCATGCTCTTTACCTTCTTCGACAACTGAAAAATCGTTTAAGACTATATACATATAGCCAGCGTTCATTCGTTTCTGTCCGTACACGTAATTATTGGCTTGTTTATATGCATAACGTCTTATTTTAATGGGAATAATCGATCTTGCCCTGATAATCCTTTGTTAATCTGATAACCCTGAATTTTTAATCAGGTCATTCCATAAGTAATGCGAGCATTGACGGTTTTTAGGCTATCGTGACCTATTTTACTGCAGTTAACAGTGGATATACACGGTTAATCGTGACTCAAACTCACAAAATGTATTTTGATTTAAATTAGATGTTTAAATTTTGAGCTGTGTTTCCGAATCGCCCCACCAAAACTGGGAACTCAGGTTCGGTATATAACCTAAATTAATTACAAGAAACCGATTAAAGTTGGTTTCAGACCTGGATGTCTTACCGTTTTCGAGATGTCGTGCTAAGGTTAGGTTAGGTTTGGTTAGGTTCTGTGTATGCACAGTATCGAATAGCATATGTTCAGTATCGAATAGCGCATACGTAGTCCTAAAATTGTACAAAAATTTCTTACCACGATATCTCAAAAACGGTAAGACATCCAACTCTGAAACCAATTTTAATCGATTTCTGGTAGTCAATTTAGGTTATGTACCTGAACCTGAGTTCTCAATTTTGGTGGGGCCATTCGGAAACTTATCCAAATTTTGTAACATAGAATTTTTATATGTTGGAAAAATAATATCTCAGGAAATAGTATAAACTTTAGAACAGTGGTTCTCAATTAGAAGTACACGTAATGGTACGCCAGAGGCAGCTGAGTGATGCACGGATAATTTGTGCAATATACAGTGTAACAATTTTAATACTGTTTGATAATCGTAGAGCATCAAATATGGTACGCTTCCTCAGAGTAAATGCCGTAGGCCCCTATTCCGGGCTTTCTCGTGCTTGTGTGATCCCAGCTCTTTCCGAGTTCTCGCAACTCCGATTGGTGGCCACGGGGAGAATGACGATATAGAATAAAGGGTCCCATATACAGGATGTCTCAGAACGACCCTAGAACCCTGGAGGGGTGGTTACTAACAATAAGGTGATTCCGAGCAACTTGGGAACAGATTTTATCAATAATTCGAAAACGAAGCCTTAATCAATATTTTGGCAAAGAAAAAAGTTGTTTGGAATCACCTTAGCAATCACCCCTTTAAGGTTCCTACGATCGTTCTGGGGCACTCTGTATACAAGTCTGTGGCCCCCTATCACTTGTGTATAAACATTTACTCAAGAGCATTGGAATTGACATTTGTGTTATTATTTATATTTCTTAATTATCTATTAAATTTTAAAATATTTAGTAATTAAAAATTATATTATTTTGTTTCTAAACCATTTCGAATATTAATATCGTCAAAATTAGGATTTTGAGAATTTCTGCTTCTTTTATACCATTTTCTCTAGGGAAGTCTACTTTGCTCGATACTGTACATGTTAATTTATTTTTCTTTGTACAATTATTCTGCTAGAAACAAGAAGGAAATATAAGAGAGCACTGTAATTAACTGTATAATCTCTCATAAAACCTTATGTAGGAAACATACTTTGATTGATGATACTGGAATTCTTGAATTTTGGTTTCGGTGATGCGCATTTATGAAAGGATTGAAAACCGCTGATTTAGAAAATAAGAATGAAGAACAGTCTACAATTAGATTTAAATTATGGCTATCTCAACGAGGATTAATTTGTACTTTTTAAGAGGGTTTATCCAGTGTAATGATTTAAAAAAAATTATATCCTGTTTCTCTGGTTCTATTTAGAGTTTTGAAAAGTTTAATAGATGAATTTGGAAAATTGGTGATGTCATAGGATTTAAATTGAATATAAAAGCTTTGTTTGAGTAAAATCTTTTATTTCATTTATTAATGGCTCTATTACTTTATCCCAGTTTAAACTTTTTGAGTGATAACATATCTGCAAAGTTATTGTAATATTTACCATTTTATTTGAAATTTGGATATTTGTTATTTGATACTTTCAGAAAAATAAAGGTTCTTTTTTATTTCAACACCACAGACTTTTGATATTCTGTATCATCGGCAGTATTTATTTTTATTGCAATGTATATATTCAGATATTTTGGACTAATTATATTCCTCAATTAGTCTAAATAGTACAGAGAAACCATAGATATAATGAGGAATCCCAATGACATCAACAGAGATATGGGTTACCATCTCAACCCCATTTAGAGCACCCTCCACCTGTTTCTTAATTGAGTAATTGATCAATTAAAAACAATTAAAAACTGATTGGTTGGTACTATATATAGATAACAAATTTCAAGAACATGTAGTACCTATGTAGTACCTATGTCCTCATCAAAACAAACAAGAAGATCTTAACAGAAAAAAAAATTGTCACGTGAAATTTTCCATCGACTATTTAACTACTGTTTTGAAACATAAACATTTTAGATTAAGCGACTATAGTAGTTCACGTTAATGAAGAGATTCAGTGATGCAACTGTAATTGTCCGATAGGAGGGATAACAAATCTGTGTTTATACCTTATTACGATCAAAATTAAATTAAAATTGGGGCTCTCGCCCCCTCCCCTCCATTTACGCTACTGAAGGGGTTATACTGTCTTTCGAAATAAAGTAATATTTTTTCTGTTGTTTGTAATGCATATTATACATGATTTTAGATTTAGAAGAAGCAATGCCGGCTACGAGGAATTCGAAATGCCCCGGGAGGGTAGCAAAGACAATAAAGGGTTCGAAGATGAAAGAGGATACAGTAGACAAGCGTCTTTTGAATCGCTTCCGGAACCTGAAAGACCACCATTGCGTCACATCGATACGTATTGTAAACCAGAATGTCCCTGCCTATCAAAAAGATACACCATTGCAACGTTGGCCTGTATAGGTGAATAATTAACAGTTTATTTTTCTATTCCTTATTTTCTTTTTAATGAGTTTATATCTTTCTGCTACTATAATATTAAAGCAAAATAGAAGCCTTAAACTTGCATATTATAAAGTACTACATTATAATACTATTGATAAAGACTACATATTTTTGAGTTGTACCTTTTTCAAATAATTTTGAAGTAATTCTTCTGCTAAAAGTGTTATTTTAAAATTGAATGCAAATTAGTAAATTTTAGAGGTGCACGAGAACCCGAGAATATCCGGATCGGGGCGAGAATTGTTTTGGCAGGCTCAAAGTGAATTAGATAGAGCTTTTTGTGAATACATACTTCCAGTCTACGGCCAGGTTCAACTAAGTTCGTCCCGAAACACATTCTCCGAATTTCAGGAATCTCGAGTCGATCGAAGTAATTCCCAATTCGATCCGAGTATCGGATATTTGAAGCTTTCGAGTTCTCGCATACCTCTCGTAAATGTCAAATGAGAGACATAAGCAAATAAAAATTTCAAATAGTAATGTCTCAAATGAGAATAAAACAAGTGCTTCTGGTCGTTAGTGAGTTAATACCTACTCCACTTTATATATTAGGTACGTTGAATGAAGTTTGGGTGAACTTGTAGAAAAGCTACTCCCGCTCCGATTTCGATGATTTTTAAATATGATATAAAATTCGATTCTAGTAATTCTTTTCCTCCAAGCTATATGTCGGATTCGATTAGTTGGCGAGATATTCGCGAAAGAATATTGTTACTACACAGCGAACTCTGCCTATACGTGTGCATCCGTGGCCGTGTGTGCGTTGACTCGCTTCCCTACGGTTTCTGTAAGCAACACCATATGGTTCGGCTCCTATCCATACAACGGGTGAACTGAAAAATCTAGACTGTAAGAGTAAGACTGCTCTGTGTGTCTTGGGTCCGGCGACTTGACCCCCTGGGCTTTTTGCCCGCAAACACAGCAGGGTTCCATTGTGCAGGGCGGCTATTGTGTTGCGCGCCGAGAGAATCTCCCTGTATTAGCTCTCGTATCACATCATGTACGCTCTAAACCTAAACCTAAGTTAAACCTAACCTAATCCTAAACCTAACCCTAACCCTAACCTCAAACCACTGGTGTACTGATGACATAAGTATAACTACAGTTTTTTACGAATATCTCGGAAACTAAGGCCGAGCGGCGGTAACATGTATAGGGAAAAGTTGTTCGGAATGATGACCTTGACAACATATTTCAAGATCACGAAAATCGGTGAGGAGGGCAAACTTCTAAACAATTACCGTCACGTATGTCCAATGTCAAAATTACTGGAATTATCGTTGACAGAAACAGTAGATAAGCGAGGATCGCTTGCCGACGCACCACAGCCACGAACGTATACGTGCAGGCGAAATTCAATGTAGTACAGTAATGCTCGGCTAAATTTCACTACGTTCGGGAGTCAGCAGTGAAATTATCGCGAGCAGGGTAGCGTTTTTATTCCGAGAATTAACTCGAGCAGAACTTCACAGAGTAAGAGAATAGATACGATAGGAGGAAGCGAGGTAGACGTACTACGTCTAGCAGCGACGGTCGAGGCACGGCACTTCAAAGAGATGCCGCGAGTGAAAAGAGTGAACATGCAATAACGAGAATTTCACTATCAGTAATTTTCAACTTATTTTTATGAAAATTATACCATTGAATTATTGAGATCCTTCTGATTGAAATGAGTCCAAACACGACGTAAATCGGATTGTATTTACGTTATCTAATAATTTCATAAAAAATCACGTAGAGTTAATCATAATGTAAATCATAATGGATCATGTACAGTAAATATGGTTCAAATTATATCGTGTTTGGACTCATTTTAATCGGAAGAATGTCAACTATCCATCGGTGCTACAATTATAAACGTAAGACGAAAATGACTGAAAATAAAATTTTCTTTACTGTATGTTTACTTTTTCCACTCGCGGCATCCATTTGATGTGCGTCTGTTCTCTTTCTTTTCATTGTATTCATTTCTTGTCCTTGTCTACTGAGATCAGGTTTCGCCAAGCTCGCTGTGCTGAGTGGTGGGAGAAGAGTGGGGCTGGGTCGTGGAAAAACCGAGCAGATTTTAAGCCGAGCATTACTACAGTACTCATAGTTTTTCGCGAATATCTCGCAAATTAATTGACGATGAGTCCGACATATATTTAGTTTACAAGTTAGAGGAAAAAAGTTGCTTAAAATATCGAATTTTACAACATATTTAAAAATCATCGAAATCGGAGGAGTTTACTAGAAGTTCACCGAATATACATTTAATTAATGAAATAGTAATGAGCTACGAATTTTTTAATTTCATTTATAATAGAAATATTTTTGTATTGAAAAATAAAAATGACACGATTGTGTACGTGTTCAGATTCTGTGATAACAAATCTATGGATTTGATATAGTTTCACAGTTTAAAAAAGATTTGTCATTTGTCTAGGATTCATAATTTCGTTCGGCATGAGGTGTAACATGGGCATGGCGAAAATGGTCATGAAGAATACCACCGAAGGAGATAATCACACTCTGATGTTCAATTGGACAGTAGGTACAGAGAGTGCTCTAGATTCGTCCTTCTTTTGGGGTTATCTAGTAACCCAAGTACCAGGAGGATTCTTCGCTTCTCTGTACCCTGCGAACAAGATATTCGGAGCTGCCATCGCCGTATCTTCGTTCTTAAATTTACTGGTACCTGGTGCTTTGAAAGTCGACCCCATTGTTGATATGTTTGTGCAAGTCTTGAAAGGATTGGTGGAGGTGAGATTTCTATTTAATTATGAAATGAAATATCATAAAATATAGTAGGCAAATGAGATAGTCCATTTTTTGCTATATTTTGGAAGAGAGCTATAATGATTTTCGACACGTTAAATTTGATTATAAAAATATTCTCGATTTTTGAAGAACTATCTATTATACAGGGTGTCCCAGAACTGGGGTAGGAACGGAAGAGGGATGATTGGTGAGGTCATTCTAAACAACTTTTTCCTTTGCCAAAATGTTAGTTAAGGCTTCGTTTTCGAGTTATTATCGAAAAACACTGGCCAATTAGAGCGCGCCGTTAGCGCGGGCCGAACCACGAGAGTGTTGGGTATGTTCCGCGCGGTCGTGATCAAGTGCATCGGCACCACGTCGGTGTAATAGGATTCGCTGTTCATGAGTAATCAATAATTCGATACAATTATTCTTTTCTTTTTTTTATTCATTATCCGATGCAACTTCTACTCAACGAATCCTATCATACCGACGTAGTGCCGAGGCACTTGATCACGACCGCGCGGAACATACCCAACACTCTCGTGGTTCGGCTCGCGCTAACGGCGCGCTCTGATTGGCCAGTGTTTTTCGTTAATAACTCGAAAACGAAGCCTTAACCAACATTTTGGCAAAGGAAAACGTTGTTTAGAATGACCTCACCAATCATCCCTCTTCCGTTCCTACCCCAGTTCTGGGATACCCTGTAGAAATACTAGTGTAACTAGGTAGGGGCAATGATAGACTGGACTCTAAAAAAATGTGGAAATTTGGTAAATTATTCTACAATTATATGATTTAAAAATTTCATAATTATAAAATTTAAAGATTTTTAAATTTCAGAGCTTAAAAATTTTTAATTTCTAAAATTAAAAAATTTTTAAGGGCCCTGGTCCACCCTTAAAATTATGTCAATGTATAGAAATAATAAAAAGATAATAAAACAGGGAGATGGAAATAATGATACAAAATTAAATAATCATGAGAAAGATTTTAAAGTATGAGAAAAGAGAGTATAATATAGAATATTAATTTAATTTGAAACGTGGGAGAGTAATTATATTCCACATACTTATACCAAATGAAACTTTAGAACAGATTCATAAAATGTCAAATTTTAAACATTACTTAACATTTACAAGGTGTTCGACAAGAGGTGTGACAAATAATAATTTTGGGGGTCCAAATAAGACGAAATAGCGTTCGCGGCTTTGTTTTTTAGTTATAAACGTTAAAATCTTCGGGTGAAAAGCGCCTTAAAACTGCCAATCTGCACAGTACCGACGATTGAACGTCGTGTCAGTAGGGGCGTGTACAGTTACAGCCAACAGTCATTGAATACTAGGAGTTCACCACGTGCTATTCTGTTTCTAATAAGTGCTGCAATCATTAAAGTAACGTGTGAACAATTAACAATCTCATAATAATGTACGATATGCGTTATAACATTTTATCTGAAATTTAAAAAAAAGGTTAATGCTGAGCAACGTTTTGTTAGCACTTCATGTCATACTATAACAAAAAGGAACACAATATAATGTAGTAAGCTTCTAATATTCAAGGATTGTTGGCAATGACTGTACACGCCTCTACTGACACGATATTCATTCGTCGGTGGTGTCCAGATTGCCGATTTTAAGGCGCTTTTTATCCGAAGCTTTTAACGTTTATAATTAAAAAACAAAGCCGCCAACGCTATTTTGTCATTCTTGATTTTCGTCGTATTTGGATCTCCAAAAGCATCTTTTAAAGTTTGTCCCACCTATTGTCGAACACGGTGTATTATATGTTATTTAAATATTCTGAAAAGTGTTTTGTGCTCAAAAAGTAAAAGGTTATATTTTATCTTAGGCTACCATATTTTTCACGTTTCTTACTAATTGTTTAATAACGGTTAAATCTAATTTTTACAATTTTCTGTTTTCTCAGGGTGTCACGTATCCGGCGTGTCACGGTATTTGGAAATATTGGGCGCCACCCTTGGAGAGATCACGTTTAGCCACACTGGCATTTTGTGGCTCCTATGCTGCAATGGTTATAGGAATGCCACTTTCAGGTTGTTTAACCTCAGTATTCGGCTGGACGGCGTCCTTTTATTTCTATGGTAAGCCAGTCCCTTAATATATCGACTATAATAACGACCACTGATTATATTGGTCCTGCAAATTCAATTAAATTAAATAGATATCTAAAAGCACCAGATTTTGATTGTTTTTAATATTGAACCAACGATGTAGATGAAGAGTGTTAAATTAAAAAATAAAATTCAAGAATTAAGTGTCTATATTAAGTATTTATCTTTAAATTGAAAATAAACTAAAAAATTAAATAGATAAAGAATTTAGCATAAACCAGCATTTACAATAATTTTTCATCTCAATAGAAATTAATTTTCCGTCATTTCGACCAATTTAGTAGATTTAGTGTTATTATAGCTTGCGCAGTGGGCAACGGAGCACCAGTGATGCACTATTGTCGGATTTCTGGTGCATGCATATTACAAAAGTACTAGGAGCATCTCAATGACGTACTTACGTTCTTGAAGTATAAAAGTATCATTCGGCCCCAAATCAAGAAGATATGTAGAGGAAGTTTTCAGGAGGGGAAAAAGCTTTAATAAATAATATACAATACCATTTAAATAATAATAATAAAATGTATTGCTATTTTTACGTCTAACGGCCGATTTATTGTACCAATATCAACCGTTGTTGTAAGGGTAAGAGAAACTGTAGAAAACTACGTGGGTCACTTTCATGGGTGTAATGTATACGGCTATAGAATCACATGATATTTTCAGACTCCTAGTGAGAAAAAGATCCTACGAAAGCACATCACTGCTGGGCACTTGCCCAGGGCCTCCCGTTTGAATACTTCGACAACATTATTTTTATCACCCAATTTTACAATTAAACATAAATACAAAATATTCCGGTTATGTTATACAGTAGACTTTCGTTATAAGAAGGAGGTTGTAGGAGTGGAAAATTTTGCAAGCTTCCAAGGTCTCTTTTTAGGTGTATGCGTGGGGGTGGGGGGGTCTTCGTAGGCTTGACGATGAAGGAGCTGCACCAGTATTCTTGAAAATCTGTGTGAAGATCAAATCGCTCAGGTGGCAATATAACGAGAGTGTACTATATATACCTTTACTAGAATAGATTTTAAGGTTGTTTGTTTCTAATGAAATATTTAAAAAAATATGAATATTCTTGACCGAAAGAGTAATGTAAATAATTGAAATTTTCAGGTATGTGTGGATTGGTTTGGTACTGTTTTTGGCTATGGTTAGCCTTTGAAAAACCATCCAAACATCCTTGCATTTCTGCACGGGAGCTTCGTTACATCGAAGACTCTCTCGGCCAAGGACAAGCTCAAATACCAATTCCAACATTTTCAACAACGCCGTGGCGTAAGTTCTTTACGTCGATGCCGGTTCACGCCATAATCGTGGCCAACTTCTGCAGATCCTGGAACTTTTATCTACTAGTGCTCTTCCAAGCTCGTTTTATGCACGAAGCCTTCGGCATGCCTCTAGTGGAAGTGAGTCTCGAGCTGCAGTATTTATATATTAGAAATAAAAATTTTATTCAATATAACTTCTAAGCTCTTTCAATCTTGCAATATCAAATAGAAATAAATGTTAACATCCACCAATAACATTTTAGCGTATAAGATATAGTATAAGGTATAATTGAATAATGAATGATTCTACATGTAAAAATAATTCAAAAATAGACAATACACTTTTTTTTGTAACAAAATTTAGTTTCCAACGAATTGAATTTGAATGAATATTTTGTTTTGTGAATTTACCAAATTTTTATTTATAAAGACATATTTAAGAAACTTGCATAATTTTATAATGTTAATAAAAGTGAAACGTTACTTTTGCTGTTATTTCAGACGGGTGTAATTGGTTCTCTTCCACACTTGCTGATGACGATGATCGTGCCTTGCGGAGGATTACTAGCTGACTACCTACGAAAACGTGAAATATTATCGACGACGAACGTCAGAAAACTGTTTAATTGTGGTGGTTTCGGCATGGAGGCAATCTTCTTCCTGGTGGTAGCCAACGCGACCACCCATAGAAATGGTACAGCTGCGATCGTTGCTCTTGCATTTGGTGTTGCTTGCAGTGGCTTTGCCATTTCCGGTTTCAATGTTAACCATCTCGACATCGCACCCAGATATGCAAGTATTTTGATGGGAATGTCTAATGGAGTCGGTACGATAGCAGGACTTTTGGTACCATTTTTCGTGGATAATATTACGGAGAAGAAGGTATGTTTGATGAGAATTAATTATTTTAAAGAAAGATTAATATTGATTGCTTTAATTAATTACTTAATATTAGATGATTTCTTATCCAATCAATAGAATATTTGTAAAGATCAATTGTTTTTCTTTTTATGATTGGCGTAACTAGGTAGAAGCCAGAGTAGACCCCCCCCCCCCCCCCCCCCCCCCCCCCCCCCAATTGGGACGACTCTCTCATCATTCTAAAGTTCTAAAGTTCTCAGATTTTACTATTTTCTTGCAAAATTTTGCGAAATACGAAATACTGTATACTTATCACTGTTAATGAGACTAAGAAATTTGGCTCACCCCAGACAAAAATCCTAGTTACACCAATGCTTGTTATAATATTTTGAAAAATTGTTTTGCTCCTCTTCAGCATTTTTGTTCATTATTTTTATAGTACATTGTTAACTTAATAGACGAACAGTTTTTCATGCATGTCTTTAGATATTATTAATAAATGATTATAGTTATGTGATTAAAAGTATTTCCTTATAAGAATAAAGAGTTGATAATTATGATGTGATATTTATCAAACTAAATTTCCATTTAATCTCTGTTATTATCAATATCATAATTTCTAGTGAAATAAAGACATATACAGGGTGTTCGATAACAGTTGGGCAATATTTTAAGGGGTGATTCTAGGGATCAAAATAAGACGAAAATCAAGAATAATGAAATAGCGTTTACGGCTTTGTTTTCCAGTTATTAATGTTTAAAAATTCGAGTGAAAAGCGCCAGAAACCTGCAATCCGCTCGGCACCGGCAACCGAACGTCACGTCAGCAGGAGTCGGTACAGTCATAACCAAGAATCGTTGAATAGTAGAAACTTACCTCGTACTATTCTGTTTCTCGGTACTGCAGTATTCGGTTTCGATTTAAAAAAAACTCGATTTAATCAAAACTACAGAAGAAATCCTACAACAAACCCTAAACAAACTTCAAAAATTCTCAGAATTAACTGGCTTTAAATTCTCACAATCCAAAACCACTGTAACTATTATATTTTCTCAAGACAGAATAGCCCACTTGTAATAAATCTCCTTCTCGGCGGACTCTCGGCGAACTTCAAACTCTCGAACAAACAAACATTCTAGGATTAATTTTCGACAAAAAACTTACCTGGATACCTCATCTAAAATCACTAAGAGACAAATGCAACCGACGCCTAAATATCCTAAAGATTCTGTCATCGAAGATCTGGGGAGCAGAATTCCAAATTATAAAAAACACATACATATCGTTCATTCGTTTCAAAATTGATTATGGTTCCTTAATCTATGACTAAGCAAAACAAAAAGCACTAAATATGCTCTCCCCAATCAACAACACAGCGGCAAGACTAGCTACTGGAGCCTCCCGTACGAGTCCAGTTGAAAGTATGCTGTGCAAAGCACGCTCCCAACTCTGGAACATAGAAAAAAAAAAACTAAGCCCCGACTATGCGTTAAAAATCGCATCATCTCCAAACTGCTCAGCTTACCAAAAAAGTTTTCCCAATAACTATGTACAGTAAAAGCTGGATATATGCAACAAACATTGGGACCCAGACGTTGCATATATCCAGCCGAGGTGTCGATTCTGGGCATTTAAAGTTGCATATATCCAGTCGAGGTGTCGATTCTGCGTCCGTACACATCGTTTGTATTCAACCGCGATACCTATTCTACGTTCGTATACAACATGCGACGTGTTGCATGTTGCATGTTGCGTGTTTGATGCATCTTTGGTGTACGGCCTGCCTTATGTTTGGTATCATTTTAATCAGAAAAATCTCACAAATGCGTTAGTAAAAGTTTCATTGAGAAAAGGTTAAAAATAAAAAGGTTTTATCGTTGAATTAATATTAGTCACACCAATATTACGGTAGGATCATATTACACGGTTTCCTGGTCGAGCGGCTCGGTTTGCCTAGGGGGATCCCCCCAAGTGGAGGGGATAGCGATGTTTCACTTATCCAAGCATTTTTTCGTTGAATTTATCCAGGTTTTACTGTACACGGCTTCCTCGTCGAGCGTCTCGGTTCGCTTAGGGGGATCCTCCCAAGTAGAGGGGATAGCGATGATGCATATATTCAGCCAATCTTTCGTTGCATATATCCAGCTTTTACTGTAAACCAATTTAGAAAGAAATCAAGACCTCCGAAACCATTCAATATCCGCATACAAAAATATTTCAGAGAAATAAACCTCCAACTACCTCTCATTTTGCCAACAAAACAATATCTAGTTCCGCCATGGACATTAAAAACTCCACAAATACTAGCAGAAACAGCTGCAAGCCCAAAAAATAGTACGAACCCACTAATCACGAAAAATCTATTTCTAGAAAACCTCAACAAATTTCCAGAGTATATCAATATTTTCACAGACGGTTCTAAATCTAAAAACAATGCTGGATGCGCAATTATCGTAGACAAGAAAGAAGAAATACTTATCAAACTCCCAAAACATTACTCAGTATTCTCGAGCGAAGCTTATGCCATCCTGTAAGCAATATACTACATTAAAAAATCCAACCAATCAAATTTTATTATTAACACTGACTCAATGAGTACCCTTTTATCACTGAAAAATATAAAATCAGAAAACCCCATTATAAAAGAAACAATAGAAGAAATATCTAAACCGAACACCAAAAATATACTGTTTCGATGAGTTCCTTCCCACGTTGGCATAACAGGAAACGAACAAGCTGATGACGCTGCTAAAAGAGCATCTCTATTGGAAGAACACTCTCAAATACCAGTCTACTATCAGGACCTGGAAAACTCAGTAAAAGCGCTATTGGAATCGTTACGCAATGAACAGTGGATAAATTCGAGACACACCTACCTTAAAACGTTAAGAAAGAACATCTTCGAACACAATCCAGCCCTATCGCTATCCAGAGCGGACCAAGTCCGGATAACCAGATTGAGAATCGGTCACAAAAATTTAACCCATATCCACCTGATGACAAAGGAAAAACCGAAGAAATGCCCGGACTGCGACGAAAACTACAGTGTTAAACACATTTTATTGCGATGCCCCAAATACAGCGGAAAAAGACTCAAACATAATTTCCTCAATGAAGCTCGCACCCTGCTTAACAGCCACAACCAGTGTAAAAATGTAGTGAATTTTCTAAAAGGCATTGAACTGTACAACTCGCTATAGCTACCTAATACTTTGACTACCTACAAATGTAACAGTGGTCGCTAATAACCACGAGGTGTATGCGACCTTAAACAATTAAATTAAATTAAATTAAATTAAATTAAATTAAATTAAAGGAAAACGTAATAGAGACCAAAGCTTTGTAATGAAAAAAAAAGATCCAATTTTATTGGTCTTAAAAATCATTATACGCTCTATTGATTGGATAAGAAGAAAATTGAATTTCATCTAATATAATGATTAATATTTTTTTTAAAGGATGCACAAAGTTGGAAGAACGTCTTTATTATAGCAGCTTGTGTACACATATTTGGTGTAACATTTTATGCGATATTTTGTTCCGGAGAATTACAACCGTGGGCTGATCCAGTTGCAGAAGAGCAAAAGAGTTGGAACGCTTTGGATGAATTTGGACAAACGAAACCAGCAGTTCCGCCGCCGCCAAATACCATGCAATCTGAATTTATTGTACGTATTGTTTATCATTCTTTATACAAAAATAACATAATATTTTGTGGGGGTTGTTTTTAGTAATCCTCATAAGTATCATAATAACGGTAACAATATAACTTTATTCATTACACGGTATTGTAATGTTTTACGACTTAGAATATTTGTAATTAACTCACTGTTTTATTTGATCTAATCCAGGCCGGCGTTGGGGGGAGGGGGGGCAATCGTCCAGGGCGCTAGATCTGAAGGGGGCGCCGCAGCCCGGTGTCCCTAGTTTAGATTAGTAAAGTTGCTATGTAGTTTAACAATTTTTACAATCTAACTACAGATTCATCGTTTCATATTATTCCCTTGTCTTTTTTTCTTAAAAATTTTGTACCCCTGAATGGGCGCCACGATAATCTCGCCCAGGGCGCGAATATTGCTAAAACCGGCCCTGGATCTAATAATAAGTGATTCATTACATTCATTAGCATTCATGGTGTTTAGTTGCATTTTCTATTTCTTAAAACCGAACCTTACTTTGACAACTTGTTAGTCACTCATTGTCAGTCCTTTTAACCCTTGAACAGTGGAGCCTGGGTCAGTCATGACCCAAACTTACAAACCATATAGAAAAATTTTAACCTAAAGTTGAATGTGTTATTTTTAAACGAAGAAGTTTCATATATTAGAAGAATAATTTTTAAAAGAATAGTGTATAATTTAAAAACTGATAAAAACGGTGAAATACAAAATTAAATTAAAATTGTGACTCTCTCCATGGTCCACCGTCCAAGGGTTAATTTTATAGATACCAAATTCTTAATTTTTCATTTATAACGAAAAATTCATAGTTAGTAATAAAGGTTCTTTGGGCAAATAATAGGTACATATTAGAAAAAAAAATAATGTCGAAGAAGAATATTCCACCTCTCACCTCAGTATTTGAAAAATGCGAGACAAATACCTATTTAGTTTAATATTCATTTCAAAACGAGTTGATTCATTTAATAATTAATAATGTAGCTAAGGATTTCATAAGTTTATCAGTATTGCAGTCCATATTTTGGCAATGAGATTGAATTGATCTAACCGAACCTGACCTAAAAAATTGTGGAAGATTAGGTTCAGATTAATACAACTGAATATAGCCCTCAAATACTATATTTTTCAATACTAACGTCAATAATTATATTTTTCAAATTTCTTTATTCATAACTATTTAACAAACAACGACCGTCAAGTAAAACTTTTCAAAAGTAACTCAGAATGATGGCCTTAAATATACAGGGTGTTCAACAACAGGTGGGAGATTTTTTAAGAGGTGATTCTAGGGATAAAATAAGACGAAAATCAAGAATGACGAAATAGCGTTTGTGGCTTTGTTTTCCAGTAATTGACGTTTAAAAATTCGAGTAAAAAGCACCTAAAACCTGCAATCTGCCCAACACCGACAACTGAACGTCAGGTCAGCAGGGGTAGGTACAGTCATAACCAAGAATCATTGAATAGTAGAAACTTACCTCGTGCTATTCTGTTTCTCGGTACTGCAGCATTCGGCTTTCTCTCTTGGTTCTGACTGTACCCACCCCTGCTGACCTGACGTTCAGTCGTCGGTGTTGGGCAGATTGCAGGTTTTAGGTGCTTTTTACTCGAATTTTTAAACGTTAATTACTGGAAAGCAAAGCCACAAACGCTATTCCGACATTTTTGATTTTCGTCTTATTTTGATCCCTAGAATCATCCCTTAAAAAATCTCCCACCTGTTGTCGAACATCTTGTGTATTAATTAATAATATAATCGACATTTGAAGGCGGTATCTTTTTCTACGTATCCACCAACATGTTTTATTTAGAATAATCTACTATGTCAACAAATTTTGAATTTTGGACTCCATTATAATTTCGCAAATTTTGGACCTAATTGCTATTGCAAATTAAGTAGGCCCTCTAAAGTTTGATTGCCCCGGCCTCTATAAATCTTATTCGGTCCTGTTGACTTCTAAATATTCTGATGAAATTTGTTGATTTTTCACGAAATATTATGCGTACTTTTTTTAATATCAACAATGATACGATTTGTATAATTATTAAATAATAAAATTTCTCTTCTTCAGAAACAACCATCCATGGGTGGAGGTGAAACGGACGACTGGAACAATTACGAGCAACCTCCCGCGGACAATATGTACGTCCAACAAGAAAAAGCACCCGTAATAAGTTACGGGTCGACGGAAACCAACGCCAGCAATCCTTTCCATTCGACGAACCCCTTCGTTACCGACATAAACGCGTCTCTGGTACAACCACCAGCAACGAACGACTATACGTACGATGTTACACAGCAAAATCAGCAATGGAATTAAATTCATCGAGAAGAAGAAGAAGAAGAAAAGAAAGATGAAGAAGAAGAAGACGAAGAAGAAGAAAGAAGAGTAAATCCAACAAGCGTAAGGAAATCTTCTGTTCAAGGTGACTGATTCTTTAATTTTAAAGCTGCTTCTGGTACTCATTCGACCTGCTTAGCTAATATTCTAATCTATTTCTTAATCTTAAATCATAGAATTTCATTTCTTGGTTCAGTTTATCTCAGTAAAGGGATCAGATACTCAGGAAGAAATTCTTATAGCAATCTTTGATATTTTCAGTCATAGTAATTAATCAATGAATGCAGTATCAGAAACACGTTGAAAGGATTATTCAGAACCTCCAAATAATTGAAATTAGTACACATTGCAAGGGATGAAATTTTCTTTATTGCAATACCTAAGAGTGCAGGGTATAGTGCTGTAAGTCGACAATTACATAAATTAAAATTAACAAAAAAAAGATAGAAAGAGATCAAAAGGATTTCAGTGAAAGAAATCATAGAGGACACTTTCTACATTAATTATCAGCAAGTTATGTACGCTTTCACGCTGAAGAAACGAAGCCAATCGAAATAAAATATTCGATGAGTCTGAAATTGGCCTGTCCATTGAATATATCTTCCACTGATGCAGGAAATAAATGAAAAATAAAAAGATAAGAAGTGGAAGAGAGCGGCCTAAGTTGAAAGTAGCTAAGCTTAATATTAACAAGATACAAAGCAAATGTGATTTCTAAGAGAACGTAAGCAGACAATAATCAACGGCCAAACCTTCGCAGACAATAATTATTAATCGAAGACAATAACGAGAAGGTTTTGGCGAGAGAAATCGGTTCAGCACGATCAGCTGATACTTTTAGGTATTTCTGTGTTCTTCTTTCTTTTCGCGTTGATGGCTGACTTTTAAATGATGGAAAACAGTAGAAACATAGCAATAAAAAGAAAAAAAAAAACAAAGGAATGAATCAATGCCAAGTATAAATGGCGAGGAGAATGGTGAATCTCAAAACAGTACATGTCGGTCCTCGATGATAACCAGAACGAATTAAATTATCGAAACGTCAATATTTTCATGATGATAGGACTGGTGGGTTTTGGTAGTTAAATACATCATTCGGTAACGCTGTTTCGTGAAGCGTTCGGATAAATGGAGTGCATTAATACGTTTATTCAGGTACAAGTCGTATCATAGACGAGGTCATTGTCTAAGCCTTTCGAGTTTAAATGTGTATTCGCAAAAAAACCACACGGATCCTAATGGAATTCTGAAACGTATGAAAGTATTCGTAAGAAAGTGATAACATGATGAAAGTATTAGTTCGATAAGGTATAAAGTACTGTAGGGCTCTATTTGTTGGGACCTGATCACTTTGAGTGGAGACTCATGTTGGGCACCAATAAGATCTTTTGAGTATGTAACCTCTTCGAAGATAACTGTTTTTTATTTCGTATTTAATTTACCTAATAACGTGTTAAGTTAAATGATTTATAAGGTTCCATTTTAATGTAGATACTTGATAGGTTAATTATAGTAAAATTCATTAATCTCTATGTTATAGTACAGGTGTCTTAAAAAAAAATTCCTTCATTCATGAATTATAATACAGTTTTTCTATAGCAAAATTTCTTAATTGATTAATTCATGAATTATAGTACAATTCGTCGGTAGTAAAATTTCACAATTTTTTAATTTCCAAATTGTAACGTAGCTGTATAGGTATTATATTTAGTATATAATATTATACATATCGTATAGTATAGTATAGTTACCCTAGTTTCTATATTTTTACTATAATATAACTATAGTAAAATTCATCTGTAGTAGAATTTTATAATCCTATTACTGCTAAATTATTGTAGAGTTGAAGTGCTAATTTAGGTGAAATTATTTTATAGTGAAATTCCTTAATTCATAAATTATAGCTCAATTCCTCTATAGGAAAATTTCCTACTTCCTTAACTTTTAAATTGGTAAAAGTATCTTATAGCAAAATTTCTTAATCAATGAATTATAGCAGGTAGAATTTTCCTAGAATAGAATAGAATAAAAACCTTTTCTAGTTAAATTCCCTAATACCTAAATTATAGTGGTTTCACCTTAAAGAAAAATCTCTTACTTCCCAAATTATTCTAGAAGTTTCCTATAGTAAACTTCCTTAATTAGATAAGCTGTAGCAACATTCCTTAATTCTAATCCCTAAAGTATAATAACAACACTTTATTTTAATTTACGTAATGATGCTACAATCATATTTCAATTGATAAATAACAAATTCCAAGCTAATTAAATGCACCGTATTTTTTATTCAGAATTCAATATGAAAGGTCAAAATTTGTATCGTTATTTTTGAAGAGGTTACACAATTTAGCAATCGCGATTTAGAAATTCGTCAAGAATAATGTCAATACGTTGATCGAAATTTCCAGGGACTTCAGTGATGAAATCATCTGGAATTTCTGTATAACGATATCGCGATCTTTCAATTACAGTTTCAACAATTTGGTGCTACGGTTCGGATAGATTGAGTTCTACTGTACGTATTTGATGAAAGTATATACATGAAAGTTTCGAACGTTTGTTCGTGAATTAGGGACACATCGCGTTATTATACATTGTCCTAGATGTTTGTACTTCGTATTATTACTATATTATATATTCGCACACGGGCATAACACGAACACACATACACATACAAACATATAATATATATTTCGTTACTATATACAAACGTTATTTCTTGATCATGTTTGGTGAATCACCAATGGTCAGAGACATTAATATACAGGAAGTTTAAAGAAAAAAGAGATTTCATGATTTACAAGGTAGAGAATATTCTTTAAAAGGAGCAAATAATTCTTGATGAAAACACAGGAAGGAATATGAACATTATCAGAGATATTTTTAATTTTGATAATTCCATCAAAATTTGTTGACTGTTTGGAAATTAGTGGATCGGCAGGACCAAATTAAGATTTTTGGAGCCCCTTTTGTTGCTAAAGGTTCAGAAAATGAAATTTATTCTCAATAAAAGTAAATAACATTTAATCCTAAGGAAAAAGAGCAACGATAAAAAAAATTTTCATTTAATAGTATTTGACATAATAAGTAGAAGGATTATTACGGGGTCCTAGAAAGCGGGGCGTGGGGTTCCCATTAAAACTCCCTTTAATTTGACCCTGGAGATGAGTGTCTTAAATTTACTGATGTGAAATTTATAACATAAGCTAAGCTTTTAAGATTTGGAAGAATCCAGATACAGTAGATTTTTGTTACATTCTCGTGGAAGGAGCTGTAGCCGGCTGTAGAGGCGAACAATTTTTCAAGCTTTCAAATTTTCAGTTGGAGGGGAAAAAGAAGATAAAAATATAACATTTTCATAGAGTATGATGGTTGTAGAGTGGCACTGTTGTGCTTGAAAATCTGTATGAAGGACAAATCGCTCACGTGGCAATATAACGGAAGTCTACTGTACAGAAAAGAGTACAACAAAAATAAAATGGTACGTTAGTTACCAAAAGTGAAAATTGTTAATAGCTCTAACAATGTACATCTTTCTTCAAATGATGGGTCTCTAAGTATTTAAATTAAGCATACTTTAATGCGTGTTAGTACAATTATTTAAAAATTAATATAAATCTCAATTATCCTATTAAATTCTTAAACTTCGCAAAGAAAATTCATCTGCATTTACTAAAATGATAAATGATGGTCCTACGAATCGTATGTTCAGAAAGGATTAATAATTCCATTTAAAAAATGCGATCTACCTTGTAATTCTTGAATTCTATTTTTCGATCACCCTGTATAGAAAAGGCGAATGAGTTGTCTAATTCATTGCATTGTTTCGCGGGCGAATCGTGATGATACAGATGTATATAATCAAAAAGTATACATAAATCGTATACAGTTTCAACGTCGATCGGTCGTTCAAGAGATTAAATTGAAGAAACATTGAGAAAGGATGATGATTAGATAAAAATTTAGGTCAAGAATTAAATGCGCGACTTTTTTTCTGTAAAACTGCCTAAACTTTAACACAGGGAGGTTGAAATATTATTGCAAATATGGGAAAAGATTATTGGTTTAATTGAGAATTGTTATTTGTTGAATTTTAATAAATAATGCTACAGAAGAGAAACAAGAAGGTTGGGAATTCAGTTGATGATCTGATAGAAAATGGTGTAGAAACATTGTTGACGGTGAAAGTATTTTATTGTGAATAAGATTATTCGATGATAAGATACAGTGTACATTTAAACTCGAATTAGTCGGGTTGTATCTTCACTATGAATAAAAATATATACAGGTATACATATTATCTAATATGTATATCAGCTAGAGGAAAAGTAAATCGTACAAATGAATTTGCAAATCCAATAAATTATTCAGAAATTCGTCTAAGGGAACAGTAAAAGAAAAAGAAAAAATCGACCCTTTCGTGGCTATTGGTGCATATAGGCGTTCTAGAAGTTCATTCATCATATGCCATAAGTATCTATAGGCATTCAATGAATTTTAGTAGAGAGGATGGTAATAATACAGAAAATTCATTTTTTTTTTATCTTTAAGAAGAGATAGAAGAAAATATGAATAACTTTAGAAAGTTACAAATTTTTCACCTTTTTCAAGGAAAATCAAGAACTTGTCAATCTTGAAATTCAATATTATTTTAGAGCAAAATAAATTGTGAAACTTATAATAATATTATATTAATTTTATAAGGTACTAAATGGATAGTTGAAATTGATAAATAAAACAATAGTAACTTACACTAGGTCAAGCATGGCCAAAGTCCTCTTCGTTATATAGCGGTTCAGTGGTTGTCACAAATTAAAGTTGTGGCTCTTTACATACTCCATCGTCAGTAGGTTAAAGCCACCTACATCAATTAATTATTCTGCACTAAAATAATTAACTTTTAAATAAAAGCTCAGTTACACTAAATCTCTATTATTTTTTTAATATTTTCAAATTGCAAATTTACATATAGTAAAAAACTGTAAACACTATTATTTATCAAAATTTCATTATTATCAAATAATAATATTATCAAATTCTAGTTTTAATAAATATTATTACCGCCTCCTCTACTTCAGTAACTTTCATTTTTCGTTAAAAATGAAAGGGTCAATCAAGAGACGATCGATCGAGAGTTCGCTGTATACGTGTATGTACACATTAAACGTCGAATCATGAAATTACTCGAAATACTATGGTACCTACATTATTCGAGCAGCCCTTCTTTCCGTTGCCCGAGAATCCACGAGATTAGTCAATTTAACGCGATACCTTTTTAAAAGTTATAGATACATAATTAACAAGGATATATGTGGCCAATATATAATTCAATACGCTAAAAGTCGAGTAAGGATTAGATGTTATATACATACGTTTCCTTGATTGTGTCGTGGTGTAACGATAAACATATATGCATACGCATACGCATACGCA